TACAATACAATGCTTACTTTCGATAGTCAGAACTAGCCGGAAAAGATGGGTTTTCTATTACGGAAATGACCCGATGCAGGCCTACCTCCCCACTGCCGCCTTCCTCAACCCAGAAAAAGGAAGCTGCTATGAAGCGACCAAGTCAAGATCTGAAGTCTAATTGAGTTCTACATCTCACGGAAAAAGTGGCATGTCGCTCTACCCACGTTCCAGTTAAGAATCCCACAAACAATGTGCTTTAGTTCACTACGTGCCCTCATAAGAGGGTCCCGACTTTAAAAAATCCTAAAATTATTTTATAATCAATACCATGTCAATAAAAACGACGCTAAGATAGAAATTCAAAGCTACTCATCAAATAACTAATTTATCATGTGGATTTGAGAGCTATTTTGCCGAATTCGCTTTAGAATTCGGAAGTTTCCAAACTTTTGACGCGCCATTTCCTATAAAAATTCGTATTTTTCAAAAACTCGATTTCAGTTTTCAAAAAATCATGTTACCCATCGTAATCTACACGAGATTCTGAATATAATAAGTGAATTCGGGGCAATTTCATTGTCTATTGGCTACATTAGATAAAAAAAAAGTTTCCAAACTTTTGACCGCTACTATATTTGATGGGGGCCAGGAAGCGATATTGACTGACAAAAGCTGATAAGGGGGCTAGAGAGCATTTGTCATCGAATTAATAGAACGAATCTCAACAGCAGTGAGGCTTTGGTTCCAACAACTTATGGAGAGGATCGTAGATGGAGGATAGAAGTCGAGGGCAGGGGCATATATTATAACCAGTTGGCGCCGTACGCATTGCGCGCACAACACAGGTCTGCGGCGAATTTTGATGTTGCGGCGAAAATTTTCAAATCAATTTGGTCTGTTCTTTCATTCATGTTCACCACCCCTTTCTAGATCTCCAGGTGCTGCACTACTGAAACCCGTGTACCGACCCAAGTGTCAAGTTAGCTTCCGTCCAGGACCGCGCTAACATCAACAAATACGCCCCGCTGCGTCCCGAACAATTCACATAAGGGGCACGAGCCGAAACTCCAACGGGCCAGTTTTGGCTACCTCCCGGGCATCATACGGTCCCGCACTTTGCAGTTCATGAGAGTAACGGCTCGAATTTTTTTTTTCGCGCTCGCAATGATTTTTTCAAACTTCTTCGTATTATCCTATGAATGGAAGCTTTGTTAGCATAGTACCAACCCAGTGGCCCCGCCAGAATGCTTCCACCCAACCCACATTTCGCTGGATACCTAGAACTGGGGAATCGCCGAATGGTCGGACACATGTTCATCCATGACAGTACTTCCACTATTTCTGACTGTTGGAATCTCATACTCAAAATGAGGTTCCCATTTGACAAAACACTTCACAGGGTCCACAACATTATTTCTAGGAAGATAGAAATCTCATTCGTCGCTGAGGACAAAGTTTCACCTCTCGCCTTCGGTCCATGTTAGCCGTTAGAGTGCGGAAGCCAGTTGGGCCATCCTGCTCTTGAAGCCCAACAATGGCTTCTTGTTGGGACATCATCCGTAATATTCACCAGGTCGCGGCCGATGGCGTGCACTTGGACTTTCATATGATTAGGAAAAGAAAAAGTTGTCTCTTAGTTGGGAATGTTGGGGGCACGGGACGTGCCAACCACCTTTCGAAGTATTTGAGGAGGCCAATTTTCTTGTGAAGATACTTTTTTGTGAATGATCATTCTTCTTATGCTTACTCGACTCCAATAACGCTAGAAACATTCGATAATATTGCTTCCGTAGAGACTGAACTACTAAGAAACAATTTCAATTTCGTATTCCGGATTGTAGGGTTTAAAAAAGGACCCCCATGGAAAAACTGCTTCCTTTGCATATGAATTCATTTTGAAATTACACATTACTCAATGGTTGAACTAAAATTAACAGAAACAAGTAAACATTGAAGAGTAGGAATCATAATGATAAGGGAAACAAAAAGTTTCCAAACTTTTGACGCGCCATTACTTGAAAAAAATCTTATTTCTCAAATATGATTATAGGTTTTTGGAAATTGTTCTTCCCGTCGTATTCTGAACTTCGATTTTGTATGGAATATCTAAATTTGGGACAATTTCGTTGTGTATCGGCCGCGCTAGATCAAAAATAAAAAAGTTTCCAAACTTTTGACCGCTACTGTATGTTCCCGTCCTACTCTATACATCACCTCTTAGAACCAATGTCCCGGGACTGCTGTTGGGAGGCGCGCTATGAATTTCGTGGAATTTACGTTCTAGCTCCTCTTATCAGCTCTTATTGTTTAAGTTCATCTTATCAGCTCTTATCAATCGTTATCACTTTTCCACCCCCACCAAGTATGTTATCGTCCTACCTCCTACATCACCCCAACTATATAATTCTCTAAGTATGCCTGTTTGCGCGTGCGCGTCCGCGTGTACCTCCGTCTGTATGTCGAAATTCACAGCGTGCTTCGCTTCAGGCATGGAGCATGTATTTTGAGTATGATGTACAGGGTGGGACGGCAACATATTTGGTGGGGTACAGGAAGTGATAAGGCTGATAAGGTTGATAAGAGGCGCTGAAACGCAAATTTCACGAAATTCATAGCGCGCGTCCCAGCAGCAGTGGGGCGTTGGTTCCAAGAAGTGATGTACAGGGTGGGACGGGAACATGTTTGGTGGGGGACAGGAAGTGATAAGGGCCTATAAGAGGCGTGAAAACGCAAATTTCATGAAATTTGTAGCGCGTGTCCCAACAGCAGTGAGGTCCTTAATAGTGTAATATGGATGTAATAACGTATACTCCATATCTCGAAGTCTGATTAGGCGTGTCTATGGGTTTGACGTGGCGGCCGCCGCACTTGATAGAAGTTGCGCGGATAAGCTGCTTCCAGCATGCTTTGCTGATATCCAGCAGTATGTTAGAAACAGCTTATCCACACGGCTTCTATCAAGTGCGGCAACGGCCACGTCAAATCCACAGACACGCCTCATCCAACTTCGTGATATGGAGTGCATGATGGTTATTTAGGCCGCGTTCATAGTTCGCGACTCCGGAGATTAGGATAGTACGCGACAATGAAAAACATATGTATTGACGGGGAGATTAGGATAGTAGTAGATTAGGATAGTAGTAGAGTAGGAGATTGCGCTGACAAGATTAGATACGTATCGATTGAAATCGCTGGAGAGTAGTAGATTGCGATATTACGATAGTAGGATAGTAGTAGAGTAGGAGATTAGGATAGTAGTAGATTAGGATAGTGCGCTGACAAGATTAGATATGTATTGATCTATTCGCTTGAAGTTGAATCATTAAATCATCCTGACGCCCGACCTTTGGTGGTTGTATACACATACCAAGGATCGCTAGCTCTGCATCCCACCGCGCGTATGAGACAGTGAGCTTAAACGGGCAACTTATGAGACGGCCAGCTAACGCATTTCACGAAGTAACTTACAATTCAGCGGCGAACCTAACGCTCCACCGGCTCTCCAGCTTTACTGAGCCCTTCCGTGTCATGCACGCGGTAGTGTGCGGAGCTAAACTGGTTGAATTAAATGCTTTTACACACAAGGAACTATGTTGAGGGATCACCTGACCACGTGACCGTGTGGCAGCAACGCTGGCTTTCACTACGTCATTTTCGCCATTTGCGCAGCTGAACTGGTACTTAGAATACAGCGCTTAGTGGCTCCAGCGAAGCGAACTACGAATTTCTGACAGAGGGGCGCACACACGCACACACATACATACGGACATAGTTAGCGCATTGTGTATAGTACGATCCAATGCTAACCAGGTCTAAATTCGATAGGAAGCTTATGAGGCATCCTTTTTCTTGTCCTTATATCTACAGCAACCGCCACGATTCCACCCCTGTAAAAACTCCAGGACTACACAAGAACTCAGGAGGAGACCTAAGAAAGTTTCTAGAAAGCATGTCATATAGACTACTCGAGATGATAGTGTCTCAATACTGCACTGCAATGACTGCAAATAATGAGGAAAGTTTTTGCTGGAGCAAAAAATGTCAAACTTTTGGGATATGTCATATGTTTTTCCCACGGCTGTTATTTTATCTTTTTGTCCTTCAACTTCTGGAAGTTCATAAAACTGCATCGAGATCCTCTACTGTAGGTTTCTTTGTACGCCAACTAGAACGACAAGCCAATTTCCGTTAGGTTTCCGGCAGCTTCAAAAATTCAAAAGTTGAGGAATGTCGTATAGTTCTGCAACGAAGAGCACTGATTTCGAATTGAAACTAGAAATTAATTCTTCTCTTGTACACACGGAAATGCACACATACACACACACTAATAATGATACCAGAGAAAAAAAGTATTGCACCAATTTCACGAAAGTAAATCAAGAAAAATATTAAAAATCCTCCACATGAATTATCAGTCCAATAATGTACCTTTAGGATAGCTAGCGTCCTATTGATGCGATCCAACAGTTGGGCATGTTCATCACGTTGTTCATCATCCAGATCGCTACTGTCAAGTTGAGAAATACTCTGCTGAAGTCTTTGAAGCGATTCTTCGTCCTTTTTCAAATCATCAGGTGTTCTATCGTCACTTTCTGGGCTAGTGATCATCAACAGTTGATCTTCAGCATCTTTGCGTGCAACATTGAATGCAGCTAACGCAGCAAGCTTATCTCCAACTGAATCACCAAGCCTTTTCAGTAGATCTTTCAGTCTCGACAGATCCCATGCGCTCCTCTGTCGCAGCTCTTCCGTCGCTTCGCCAACAGGGATCGTTTGTATGAGATTTTCAAGACGTTGCTTCTTTGTCTCGAGTTCCTCAAGCACTGATTGCTGATCGTTGAGATTGTGTGGTATCTCTTCAGGTTGTTGCTGTAGACTTTCGGAAATGAGAAGAAGAATCTCAGGCGCAACTGACTTCAACTGCGCAATCTGTTCGATATCCTTCTTCTTCTCATCACATTCCTTCTTCAACTTCTGCACTTGTTCCGGTAGAGTCTTATCGAGATCATCGTGACTGACAACTGATGATGGGCTGGTAGCGAATTGCTGATACGCATCCGCGACACCACTCAGTTTCTGTAGTTCAGTATCAATTGATGCCCATTTGTTGCTTAGCTGATTCCAAATTCTCAGGATCGACTCTTGTCAAAGCATCAGCAATACTTGATAGGCGATCCTTGAGTTCATCTTGTTGTTGACGTGCTTTCATTTCATCCGGTAGAGCTTTCCGCAAGGTTGCCAATTGACCCTGAAAGTATTCCACCCTAGATTCCCTGATCGTAAAAGAAAATTTCCCATAAAAGAAAAACACTACAAAGAAAGGACACAGATGTTAACGAAAATCACCTTCACTTGTTCTTTAATATTGTTCACATCTCGAGCCAATTGATTCCTCGGTGAAAGATCTTCTTGTGGAATTGAATCGACAGCGACAAGAATTGCTGACAGATCTTGCTCATCCTTAGTCACATCATCGATAGGAGCAGGTGTATCACGAATTCTCAGTTTACCACGGCATTCATCAACAACGTTTTGCAAGTCAACAGTTTTCTGTTCGAAATCCTCCATTTCATGCACTTGATCGTCTAATTTCTTGTTAATCATGTCGATTCGATTTGAAAGATCTTCTTTCTTTGGTAGCAAATCGACTGGAACATCAGATATTGCATCGAGTTTGGAGAGTAGCTTTGGTGTTCTAGCTTGTTGGAAATCAATTAAATCAGATGAAGACGGCAACGTTATTGGTAGGGCTTTCTCCAGCTCTTCCACTTCACGCTGAATTTGCTCCAATGACTCGATGGCGTTGTTGCGAGTATC